GGGGCGGGGCGGGGGAGGGGAGGAGGCGCCGGGCCGCCCAGCGCCGCGCGCGCGGGCCACCCCTAGCTCGGGGATCCCTCCGGCGACACCCGAGGCTCCCCCAGGGAACGGTTAGGGTGGTGGGCGGGGAGGCCTCCCACCGCCCCACGCGGTCTCCAGGGACCGGGGCAGGAGTCAGAAACCCGGAGTGGATCGATTCTCCCGGATCCGGGCTCTCTTGGGCCCGCCAGCTCGCGCACAAGTGGCCCGGGAGGGGCCGGGGCTGCGATGACCTCGGCGCGGCGCCAGCTTGCGAAGATGGGCCCGGGGCAGAGGCGCCCGGGGCAGCCTCCACTGCAGTCCTCTGCCCCCGCGCCCCTTCGTCTCGCGGCTGTGCTGCGAAGCCGTCAGCGCGCCGCTGTACGCGGCCAGCCTCCCTCTTGGGCAAGGGACTGCGGGAGAGCGTCGGGGCGCCGGCCCGCGCGCAGAGGTACCCCGGCCCCAAGCCCGGGGGAGGCCGGACTCGAGGCCACCTGCAGTCGCAGCCACGCAGACTGGCGGACCCCAGGGGGCACGCGTCACACAACGTGACCCAAGGCTTCCCTAAACCCACCGCAGCGTCCGCGGAAGGAAAACAACCCCAGGGCGCAGCGCCTCCGACTGGGTGCGCGGTGTTTGCGCGCTGGGCGCGCAAGGCGCGGTGCACATGGGCAAGAAGGGTAGAGTTGGGCTTTGGAAGCTAAAGAGACCTGGGGTAGGATTTAGGCACTTCTGCCTAAAAGCTCTGTGACCTTGGGCAAGTCAAGTAGTCTCCCTGAGCCTCCAGCAGTGACCGCTGCCGGAGTCTTCTGTTCCCCACCCCCACCCACTAATCGGATTAAGACAAACAGAGAGGGCTGTCTTGAAGGAGAAAGGAAATGACAAACGCGCACCGTGTGCACAGGGCGTGTGGGCAGAAAAAGAGAGGGCCGTACTCTGGGCCAGGAAAGGGATAAGAAGAGTGAGGGCAGGATCGCAACGCCTACAGGGGCCGGTCGATTATATAAATTGCTGCTGCAGGCTGGGCCACGTAGAAATGGTCTTGCTTCCACAAAGACGTATGAGCTCTCCTGTATTTCTTGAAACACGAGGCCCTCGGTCTGTCTTTTGTTTTCCACTTTTGATAGAAAAGGGTTATGAAAAATGTTTTTGCTTCCTTCTTTACTATAAAAAACATCAGCCAAAGCGCCAGGTACACATCTACAAATGCTCGGCTTCAGCGCCTGAAAGTGGCGGGTAGAGCTCGGGATTGGGCACAAGGTCTCATCTAAAGGGGCAGCAGGCTTTTCTGCTCTGGGTGCCAATGAAGGTGAGGGAGATTGGGGCCCAGTATGGCTATAACCCTTTGCTGTCGAGTCGATTCCGAGTCCTAGTGAAGCTATAAGACAGAATAGTACTGCCCCATAGGGTTTCCAAAGAGCAGCTGGTGAATTCAAACTGCTGACCTTTTGGTTAGCAGCCGAGCTGTTAACCACAGCACCACCAGGGCCCAATATGACTATAACTTCCAATTTTTCAATATAAGCACACATTCAGATTTGTATGCAAAATCTCCTAAAAAAATCTAAAAATTAATTTTGTTAACCTCATGTGGGTCCAGATGAAAATGTCCACCAGCTTCTTTCTGGTTTTCGGACTCTGCGTGGGGGCTGCTTGTATGCATACGGTGGTAGGGGAGGGGCTGATTTGCCCAACTGTCTAGCGGGGGTGTGTGTGGGGCGGGGAGCAGTATGTGCCGGCTTCTTTTGACACCATTCCCCTCCCCCAGTGAGTGGGAGAGGTGAAACGGTGGCAGGACCTGCATTTCAGTCCAAGGTATTGGGGGTGATGATTAGGCACTGGGGTTTGCACAGTGGAGGGAGGTGTTTGAGGATGAAGGACTGAGATTGAGGGCTGAAGTATAAAGTGACATTATAATAGTGTGTGCTGGACACTGCTATGTCCTTGTCTATATTTGTAATTTGGCTTGCTCCTCACGTGCAATCCTGTTAAATAAACATTATTATCCCCATTATACAGATAAGGTAACTGAGGCTTAGGGAGGGTGCCAAGGGCCACCTGTATTCAATGATTGCAGGGCTGAGATGGGTCCCTGAAAGGTTTGATTTTAAAGTCGATGTCCTTACATTTCCTCTTCCTGCGGTTCTAGGATGAGAATTTGGGAATAAGATTTGGAGTGCAGGAAAGGGAAGGGCCTCTTCTGCTCAGTTTGCCTGCTCTGTTGACTTCTCTCCTCTTCTCTCTTCAGCTAGAGTGGAATGGTCTGTGGAACAGTCAGGATAGAATAGGTTATGTTGTGGTAACAAACAGCCCCCACATTTCAGTGGCTTAAATTAACAAAGGTTTATTTCTTGTGTCCATCATGGATCTGCTGCTCCAGATCATCCTCACTAGTTGCTCACAAAGCAGCCACTCTGGGGAACATTGCCAGTTGTTGAGGCAGAGAAAAAGGGAACTCTGGAGGTACATGCAGCAGCAGTGACTCAGCCTGGAAATGACACACGTCACTGCCACTCACAACTCATTGACTGGAACTGATCACATGACCCTACCCAGGTAGTGTAATCCTACCATGTGCCTGGAAGGCAGGGAGCGGCGATCGGTGGAACATGAATGACGGTCCGCAGCCTCCAGGCCCAGCATTATGTGACCCCTGCCTACCTGTGAAGGCTCTCTGGTGGCGCAGTGGTTAAGCACTGTGTTGATAACCGAAAGGTCAGTGGTTCAAACTTACCCAGTGGCTCTGCGGGAGAAAGATGTGGCAGCCTGCTTCCATAAAGATTACAGCCTTGGAAACCCTATGGGGCAGTTCCTCTCTGTCCTATAGGGTCGCTATGAGTCGGAATCAACTAGATGGCAATAGCATCCAAGCTTGTCCCCACCTCACAGACTTTTCATTTGCTTTCCTTCCTGGAACATTTGCTTTGTCCCCAGATCATCACATGGTTGGTCTCTTTTAGTCACTCAGGACTCAGCTCAGCTGTCCCCTTCCAAGTGGTCCTCAGGACCATGTCAGCAGAAGGGGCAGGGATGCCCCTATGGTGGTGGTGGGGCTGTAGATGTCTCACCTAAATTCTGAATTCTGCCTCAGATCCAAAGGTAGGGTGGCCAGATGGGAGCAGAGGTCCTGACATTTCCCTGGAACCCAGGGGAATCTGGATCCTACTCAGATTCAAACCCTGACTATGACCTCAGTCTCTGCCCTCACAGAGCTCCCAAATTAGAGGGGTAAAAACCAGTTGCCATCAAGTCACAGCCAACTCATGGTGACCCCATGTGTGTCAGAGTAAAACTGTACTTCAGGTTTTTCGATGGCTGATTTTTTTGGAAGTAGATCACTAACGCTTTCTTCTGAGGCACCTCTGGGTGGAGTAGAACCACCAACATTGTGGTTAGCAACCAAGTGTGTTAACTAATTGCACCACCCAGGGACTCCACTTTGAGGGGTGTGAGGGGCCAATGCTCCCCTAGGTGGGAACCTCCGACAAACATCTGTACCCTCCCCTGCCTTGCAATATCCCAGAGATAGGGCATAGAGTTCTCTGCTGTGCAGAAATAGTTCTGCTCTGGGAAGCAGGAATCTGTCCCTCGCTGGGTTCACCTTCTGGGACCATACCCGACACGCCTGCCCCTCTTTTGCTTCTGTTATTTTAGAAGTCTTTTGCTTCATTTATTTCAAAGAAGCAAAATCTGGGTAAATCTTGAATTTTCCCTCCTTCGGGCCCAACAGCTCTGCTTCTGTTGCTGGCACAATGCCAGGGCTATAGGCCCCTGTCCTCTCCACCTGGCCACACCACTGCTGGTGTGTTATGGATTGAATTATGTCCCCCCAAAATATGTGTTGTAAATCCTGAATTCTATGCCTGTGGTCATAATCCCATTTGGGAGTGCGTTGTCTTTATTATGTTAATGAGGCAGGATTAGTGTAGGCTGTATTTGAGTCTATCTCTTCTGAGATATAAAAAGAGATTAAGTAAGTGTGCAGAGAGAGAGAGATGGAGTAAGATAGATGCCAAGACACATGGAGATTTCCAAGGAACCAGGAAGAAGAAGCTGAAGAGACAAGGACCTTCCTCCAGAGCTGACAGAGAGAGAAATCTTTCCTCTAGAGCCAGCATTCTGAATTAGGACTTTTAGCTTCCTAAACTATGAGAAAATAAATTTCTGTTTGTGAAAGCCATCCACTTGTGGTATTTCTGTTATAGCAGCGCTAGATAACTAAGACAGAATTTGGTACCAGAAGAGTGGGGTGCTGCTCTAACAGATACCTACAATGTGGAAGCAGTTTTGGAATTGGGTAATGGGTAGAAGCTGGAAGAGTTTTAAGGTGCCTAATAGTAAAAGCCTAGATTGCCTTGAAGAGACTGTTGTTAGAATTATGGACGTCAAAAGCAACCCTGGTGAGGGCTCAGAGGCAAGTGAGGAGAGCTATAGAGAAAGTCTCTATCGTCTTAGAGAATACATATGGTGTCAGCAATAAAATGTTGCTAGAAATGTGGATGTTAAATGTGCTTCTGGTGAGGCTTTAAAAGAAAATGGTAAGTATGTGATTGGACAATGGAGAAAAAGCAATGCTTTTTATGCAGTAGCAATGAACTTGTCTGAATTACGTTCAAATGTTTGGTAAAAGGTAGAACTTGTAAGTGAT